CAAATATATTTCTAATCTCATTGTCAGGCCAAATTGTGGGATATTAGTCGTTGTCAATTGTTACATACATTGCGTGGACATACACAGGCTGTATTCTGCATTGACATGGACGATGACTGTAAAATAGTGTTGACTGGCTCAGCTGATAGGGTAAGTAGATAAAAACAAAACTTAATGCAAGTGTTTGAGTGTTTGGTTATGGTTTGATGACTTTTCTTTCATGTCTAATAACTTTAGTCATTTGTTTCTACAATTGAACCACTCCGTATTGAACGTTTACAAACCCTTTACTATTTATATTATGGTTGTTATTAGAGTATTCGTGTATGGAGTGTGGAGACTGGCAGACATACCAGAGTGATCTGGGCAAGTCAGACAACCTCCATCATGGCACTTAGTTACCACAAAGGCTATTTTGCATGTGCTGTAGGAGAGGTGCTTTCGCTTTGGAAACTAGGAGAGCCAGCAGCAAGTTGTGTTCGGACTTTCCAGGAACATGAAAAAAGGTAAATCACCACTAGAGGGCGCCTTGATTAAACTGATGATAAACCCAAAACACATGATGTCTTATTTAGAGCAGCCAATCATATATGACTTGTTTTGAGATCATTCTATCACACATGTTGCTATTTTCAATGTAGCCAAATCACATGGAACTAACGAAAAAACCTTTAAATTGTATGCATGAGTGAGTGAGTGAGTGAGTGAGTGAGTGAGTGAGAGATCAAATATTTGTTCACTTTGTTTAATTTTAATTTCAATCACTTTAATTTGACCTAGAATTGAGACATTAGAATTGAAAATGGCAGAACCAGAGAAACCTGAAGGAATCATAGTGAGTGCTGGGCAAGATGGTATGGTTAAATATTGGGATATCAACAAGTAAGTACATGTGGTCATCATGTGATGGTTACATGATTGTCAGGTAATGTAACATGCTCATTGGTTGATTCAGTTTACAATATTTGTCATGTGATGCTCGTCAGACATTTTTACTAGGTATGTTCATATTAAATGAATTTTCTGTTTCCTGATTGGCTTATAGCAGGTTATATTTTTTTCATTTTCAGAGAGAAGAGTCTACACACTTTGAGTGGACATTCCAGTCAAGTCAATGCCATCCACTTTGATGAGACAAAGATTGTCAGTGCTTCCTATGACAATAAATGCAAAGTCTGGGATTTCAACATCTAAAACAATTTAACACAAATATTGCCAAAATTGTGTCTTGTTGCTTCCAAGTTTCTGTCAAAATATGCACATGAAACATACCATTATAATACTATAATTATCCAGGCAGTGAGGGCAGTGTTCACAATTATGTCAAAATTACTGAGGACAGCAATCACAATTTGACACATGTCAAAATTACTGAGGACAGCGATCTCAAATGTAACACATATCAAAATTACTGAGGACAGCGATCACAATTTGACACATGTCAAAATTACTGAGGATAGCGATCTCAAATATAACACATATCAAAATTACTGAGGACAGTGATCACAATTATGGTATGTCAAAATTACTGAGGACAGTGAACTCAAATATAACACATGTAAAATTACTGCGGATAGCGATCTCAAATATGGCATGTCAAAATTACTGAGGACAGCGAACTCGAATATAACACATGTAAAATTACTGAGGATAGCGATCTCAAATATGGCATGTCAAAATTACTGAGGACAGCGATCTCAAATATAACACATGTCAAAATT